GGCATCAGGTGCATCATTATCTAAAAGAGAGTAGCAGACCAATTTGAAACCTTTGCTTCCTAGGAGTGGTATCGACGCCTCCACTTTGTTACACTCTCTTTTGATGATTACGCAATGTCAGAATCGGAGACGAGTTTAACTTCCTTTCATAAATACGTCAATCGGAAACTCGGAGATATACCTCGTTCTCGCTCTGGAGTAATCATGTTACTACCAAATCTTGACAATTGGCTCTCGTCTACACAAAGTTTGACTTCTGGTCAGGTAGATGAACAGTACGAGCTAGGAGTGTCAAACCGGAATATGGATCTCCTTTCCTTCCTCTTTACCTCGCTAAGACGTTTGTGTGCCGCCGTTCCCATCTGTGTGCTAGCCACGAGTACTGATGCGGCAGAGATTTTGAAGCACCGGAACTTCCAAAGCCTATTTTACAAAAGCGTATTAGTTTCTTTACCCAGTGGAGAACAAAGATTTCGTCATTTGGCTCAAGAGATACGGCAATGCGCATCACAAGTGATTGACGACTGGAAAGAATTTTCAGTTTCTACGGAGATTTCAGGAGATTGGAGTAGACTTCATAAACTAGCTGCAAGTTTACATGGATACACAGTAGCGTAAGGAGTAGTTTCTTTCTTCGTCACTTTCTTTTGCAGTTTAAGTCGTCATAGCTAATTCATTTTGGCTCATTATAGAGACATTTCACGGCTATGCAGAGCAGGCTATGCAGCTGCTATTGACGAATGCGTCACGTCTGCGACCAAATTAGAGGAGTGTGATCAGTCTTGCATGCCTAGTTTATCTCAAATTATCGACAAATTGGAAATAGAGCGGAACCATTATAGTCCAGTTAATTTGTGTGCAGAAATATCCGTCTTCCCCCCTATGCGGTGGTCAGATATTGGTGGTTATGCAGACATCAAACGTCTTTTCATCTCGACAATCCAGCAGAGGCTTGTTGAATCTGCCGATCCTGGGAGCAAGGCTGCGCAAACCAACAAATGTCTCGGCTTAAGTGTCCCCCGTGGCATTCTGCTGCATGGGCCTCCAGGTTTGCGAGTTCTTAACTCCTACAAAATTTTTGTTACTCGTTAACCACTGAGTAACACATATCAAACCTTCAGGCTGTTCTAAGACCCTGTTTGTTCGAGCTTTGGCTACGGAGTGCAATCTGCCCTTGGTTGCCGTTCAGGCCTCGAGGATTTTCGGTCGGTATGTTGGTGACAGTGAAAGAAATATGCAACGGGTCCTCGTCCATGCTCGAGCTTGCTCTCCTGCGATCCTCTTTATAGATGAAATCGACTTATTGCTACCTTCTCGAAATTCAAGGTAGGAGCACATTTTATCTTACTACTTATGTCTGACTTCAGCGAGTCAGGAGTTAGCGAACATGTGTTGAGCGAAGTTCTTACCGCCATGGACGGTGTTGAGGGGCAATGTGGGCAACTATTGCTGATTGCAGCCACAAATCGTCTTGAAAATCTTGATCCGGTTAGTTCTCGTCTGTTACTGTAAGGAGGGCAATTCTGTAAATCTGAATTTTTCTACCGCACTAAGGTGCACTTAGTTGCGCTTTAAGGGACTAACAGGGAATGAATACTGAAGACGGTTCCTTTTATCCTCGTTTGACATTGATTTCATTCCACTCATTATTATGTTGAAAGCATTCCTGAAGGCCTCCTGTCGCTTATTATTAGTTGAAGAGGTACTAAAGGGGACTAAATTGACCACTGAGAATTTTTGACAGTAAGCGATGCTTTCCTTTCGTTTACCTGTCTATTATTCACTTTGTGGTTTCGTTTTCGGTGCTTCGCGGTTTTGGAGGCAGGATGGATATCTACTGTATATGAATCGCATCTGAACTTGATGCTACTTTTGCCTAATTTGGTGAAAATTAGACAATTTTTGTTGCTCTTCTTTTAGTCGCCTGTGTTTAG